TGTTCCGAAGGGACGGGCGAAGGCCTCCATTGCCCTCAGCCGATCGACAGGGAGTCGGGTTCAGATCCCCGAATCCGGAGTGGCAGAGATGGTCGCCGTGAGGTGTCCAGTGCGGTAATGCAACCAATCCCGGAGAAGCCGGTGGGAGCCCCAGGGAGAGTTCTCTTTTCTTTGTGAATGGCATGGCACCCTGGAGTGGGTTCGCCCCAAGGGGCCTGTGCCTTGGAAAGTGTCGTGGTTCTGGCGGTGTCTGGTGGGCTCTTGCTGGCCCTTGAAAATCCGGGGGGAGAGGGTGTAAATCTCACACCGGGCTGTACACATATCCACAGCAGGTCTCCAAGGTGAACAGCCTCTGGCATGTTGGAACAATGTAGGTAAGGGAAGTGGGCAAGCCGGATCTGTAACTTTGGGATCAGGATTGGCTCTAAGGGCTGGGTCGGTCGGAGAGGCTCCGTGCCTCTCCTCGCTCTCTTCCTGCATTTCCATCCTTTCCCTCCACCCACGGCCCGACTTCCAGCCCCCGTGCCCCACCGGGGTGGCTGGCGGGTCTTGCGCGCGACCCATCCCATGTGAGCTTTTTGCGGGAGTTGGGGTGGACTGTGGGGGGGGGGAGCGAGCACCCCTTCCGACTTCCCGCCTCCTCTCCCCCACCCTGCCTGGGGGAGTTATGGGGGGGATTGTCCCCCAGGCACGGTGGCACCAGCGGCCTGGTGCACAGCCGTTGGTCTCATCGTCCCGTCTGTGCGGGGGTCCCCTTGTTTCACGCCCATGCACCACTCCCCCTCCTCCTCTTTTCTTTGAGATGGAGGACGACCAGCTGGATGGACTGGAGGGGTGCTGGAGTGGGGGAGTGGATGGCGTCTGGGTTGACCAGCTGTCCGGCCGCACTGCCACCCAAACCCTCTGGGAGGGACCCTGAGGCATGGAGCCGGGATCCCCAGGGGCCCACAGAGGGCTCGCCATTTTCTGCTTCTTTTTGGTTGGTTCTTGTTTTTTGTTGTCACTGCTGTTGCCGTTGCTCTTGCCGCTGCTGCTGTTGCTGTTCTTTTTCTTTTTTCTTTTCCTCTTTTTTTTTTTTTTGTCCTTTTTGAGACCTGTCTCACCGCGCTCAGCCAGTGAGCACTGTGACTGAATGGGTCATCTCTACACGGGATCCGAACCCACGGCTGGAGCGCTGCCGCACTCCCAGTGCTGCACTCTCGCGAGTGCACCACGGGCTCAGCCCTTCTTTTCTTTTCTTTTTTTAATTAAAAAAAGTTTTTTTTAAAAAAAAGATGACCGGTAAGGGTATCTTAACCCTTGGCTCGATGTTGTCAGCGCCACGCTCAGCCAGTGAGTGAACCGGCCATCCCAATATGGGATCCAAACCCGGGGCCTTGGTGTTATCAGCACCGCACTCTCCCAAGTGAGCCATGGGCTGGCCGTCTTTTCTTTTCTTGTCGCTCTGGCTGTACGGCTTACTTTGCTTGCCCATCACGTGTTGTGGATCAACATTCGATGGACGTGCCTGAGATGGGGTGACACTGCTTCCTTGAAAACATTTTCTCGAACGGCGCGATGCTCACTCAGACTCCTCCCTTTCCTAGTTTTGTTCAGGTCACGATGTTGCTTGGCTCTGCTGAGAGGCTGCCACATGGAATGAGAACCGGAATGCCTGAGTTGAGAATTTGTAAGCGTGTTGGCGACTGTCCCTCCAATAAAGTCTTGGAAGACTACGGCCCTGACCCGAAGTTTAGGGGTCTCCTTCAAAGGTACGCTTTCACACTGCTCACACATTTAAAACTACCAAGTAGTCACATGCTTATCGTTATTGGATAGTCACACGCATACGCGCGTGCCCTCCTGGCGTGAGGAGGGGCTTTGGGGAGGCCTAGCGTGACCTGCTGATGGAAACTGGAACGAGCCAGTCAATTGCTCGGGGGCAGCTTGGAGGGGTGGGGGATAGCAAACAAAATTCAAACTTCTCTGAGGGCGGGCTGATATTTATCTTTTAACTTCCTTCTGGGGCCTGGGAGGCGCTGAAGAGCCGAGGGGGATTTTCAAACGACACCGTCTTCTAAGCAATTTGAACTTCATCAATCTACCATGTCACATGGTGACTGGTTTCATGGAAGCGAAGTGTGTATGTTAGGGAAGTGTGGGGGGGGGCGCCCTATCACTGCTCTCATAGTTTCTCCCATTCTGCTGGGTACACTGAAGGCCCCGGACCCACGTTGTACCCTCTGTCTGAAACTCTGAATCTGAATACTTCCTCTCCTCTGATCTTTCTTCCTCAGGGCACTTTGCCATCATTGTCACTCTGACCATTGTCCACCAGAGAGGTTGAGGCTGACCGTGCATCCCTGCTCCTGAGAAAGGGGTGGCCGCTGTGCTGCCGGTACCAAAATGACGCATGCTCGCTGGAGTGCCCTGGCCCCCCCTGATGCTCTGGTCCGGCCCTCTCCTGCTTGGGGCTGATGGTCGCCAGGGGCCCTTCACCCCCGTGTACACCTTGGCTTGGTGTGTTTTTCTTTCTGGGTGGGAACGGAGGGCGGTTTCCCTCGGATGGGATGTGTACAGACGTCAAATAAACCTGACAGATGTCCATAAAACAAAAAAGTGAACACGTGCGTCTGGAACCTGTGTCAATTGGGTGGGTGGTATTGGATTCGGGGGGGCCACCCTACCACTGTGACGGTGTTGATTGAGATGACACGAGATAAACGTCAAGTGTCCGGATGGATGGGCAGATTTCACGGATGCAGAGATGGACCCGACCCACACACCAGGAGGGGTGGAAACAGCCCCCACACAGCCCCTGTGCATGGAGGCTCATTCTGTACCCATAGTCGCCCTCGTCCCCGAAAAATGACTACTGAGCAGGGTGTCGGTGACATCTGTTTGGTTGGATTCATCGAAGTGAGAGCTGGGGGGAAGGCTTTCGACTCATCCACCCACCCTGCTTTTCGTTTTACTTATTTTAATTTTTAAAAAATTCTATCTATAGGGCCGAGCCCGTGGTGCACTCGGGAAGGTGTGGCACTGGGAGTGTGGCAGCGCTCCCGCCATGGGTTTGGATCCTATACAGGGATGACTGGTGTGCTCACAGCACTCACTGGCTGAGTGCAGTGCGGCCTGTCTCAAAAAGGACAAAAAAATAATAATTCGATCTATCGCTATACGGTGTAGTTGCTTTCCGTGTCCCTTTACCGGTTCCGCTTCCCCCCTCCCTCCCTCCCTCTAGCCCTCCCCCATCTATGTCCTATCTGTTGGCTTGTCTTAAAGAGTTCAAGGAATTGTGATTGTTTCACATTCCCCCCCCCCACTGTTTATTACTTTGGTTGGTTGGTTGTTTTTAGCTGTCACGGATAAGTGAGTGAAGACGTGTGGTGCTTCTCTTTCTGTGCCTGACTCTTTCTACTGTAAATGGTCCTGCGATAAATATGGGAGCACAGGTAACCCTTCGACCTGATGATTTCCATTCCCTGGCTATATTCACAGCAGTGGAATAGCCAGGTCGTATGGTAGGCCTATCAGAAATCATTTGAGGGGCCGGCCCAGGGGCACACTTGGGAGAGTGTGGTGCTTGTGAGTGTGGTGGTGCTCCCGCCGAGGGTTCGGATCCCATATAGAGACCGGTCCGCTCTATAGTTTCTGGCTGAGCGCAGTGCGGGCGCGACACCGAGGGTTGCGATCCCGTAGACAGTCAAAAAAAAAGACAAAAAGGGGGAAAGAAAGAAAGAAAGAAATCGTTTGAGGAAACTTTCTGCCTTTTTCCGACGGTCTACAAGAATTCTTGTTTCTCTGCCCCCTTGCCAGCATTGATTGTTCTCGGTTTTCTGGATATTAGCCTCGCGAACTGGAGTGAGATGTTATCTCGTAGTGGTTTTCATTTGCACTTCCCGAACCCTGAGGGGTGTGGATGTTGTGCCCTTTCTTGCATGTGTCTGCTGGCCATTTTTATCTCTTCCCTTGAGAGATGCCTGTTCTGCTCCTTTGCCCATTTTTTACTTGGGCCATCTGTTTTTTGACTGTGAGTTCCTTGTATATTCCGGATAGGAATCCTTTGTCAGATGTGTATGTCGCAAATATTTTCTCCCACTCTGTTGGTTGTGGTTTTGCCCTGGTCCCTGTTTCTTTTCCTGTGCAGAAGAAGCTTTTTACTTTGATAGGATGTTTTTCCTCTGATCACCTGTACCTCTAGGGTCCTATTCATCCCACTCCCAACATTGGACAGATCATCATCATCTAGGTGAAAAAATCAATAGACTGACATGAGATCTAGGTGCTACTTTAGACCCATCTGACTTGGCTGATATCTACAGAACATTCCATCTGACAATCTTGGAATATTTGGTCCTCTCCTCTCATCGGCACATGGAACGTTCTCCAGGATAGACCACGTATTCGGTCACAAATCGACTCTCAGCAAATTCTAAGAAATGGGAATTAATCCATGAATTTTCTCAGATCACAGTCCCGACCCATGGGATATTCAACACAGACCCTGGAGGGGGGAGTGGGAATTGGATGGGACAAGAGACGTGAGAAATGGAGACCAGACAGTATTCTGATCAAGTCTCGTTTATTAGCCAGAAGGTCACAGTTTATATAGACAGGAGGAGGGAATCAGCAGATAAGAAAATGAGCAGCAGATGGTTTACTGAGAAAACTGCAGGGCGGGTTGTTCCGGTAAATGGAAAATTTCCATTATCTATGGGAATTTTCAAAGTTACCTACACCCATAGTGCACAGGAGGGGGAGGGACAGAAGATAACAACAAACAAGGCTCTGAGGCCTCGAGGCAATAGCTGGGTGGGCTCTTTTGGCTCCGGACAGGCAGTCAGCCAGGCTCCAATGGCTCCGGACAGGTCCCCCTTTTTAATTTTTTCGAGCCAAGAGAACCTCTCGGGAACTGTGCCTGTCTTAGGTTGGGCCAATCTATCCCACACATGGTACCCGTCATAGGATTAGGCTGCAGCAGAGGCGGCCCTCCTGTCTTAGGTGGTGTGGGGATGTTACCCTCTTACCTGTCTCTGGCTATCCAGTTCAGCTCACAGAGGCAGCATTTGTTAAGGTGAAAGTAGTGGTATATAGGCACCACTTAGTTCTTGCATCTCAAGGCGTCGATAATGGACCTGTATAGGCCTTGCCTGAATAGCCTCAACTTGCTCTTTAATGAATGCCATAAGTTTGTTGAACAGAAAAGGACCCAAAGAAAGCAAAAGAAGCAAGCCCACAAGC